CAGTTCACATTGTGGTGTAAATGTCAGGAATTGGTCTTGATGTCCAAATTTCCTAAGAAGCCCCATTGGTTTTGCTGCAGGCTATTGTACTGCTGTTGTACAATTGTTGTGTTAGCTGCATCGTGGTATTTTGTAAATGGTTTACATTCATTTGCTGCTGGTTTGCAGCAAAGTTACAATGAGATGTTTGGCAGATAGCAGTATGTCCTGCTATCTCCAGCAGCCGAAGTGAGATCTTCTGCCTCTCTAGAAAGTAGGAGACTTGCAAGATTAATGTTAGTCCTTCCAAATAGATCAGTTTATGCATCCAATATCATGTAGGTCAGTACTATTTTTACTACAAAGAATCCTGCAAGCCTGAATGGGCTTCCCCCACTTCATGAGAATCATGGAGAGCTTGCCTGAAACTGTTATTCATGTTACATTTCTGGGCAGGTGTCAGGACTCTTTTATTTGACTGTTTTCTTAGTATAGCAATTCTTCTTGTCTCTCAGGCCATCTCATCTCCTTACAATGACCACTTTCTCCATACCTTCCATAAAAGGGCAGATTCATACTGAACAATAGTTGTCTAATATAGCTTGGTTCAGGTTAGCTTCTTAGAATAGGTTACCCAATGCCCTTTTCAGGGACACTGATGTTTCATCCTCCCACAAAGTATTCACAACTGTTCAGATAAATTTTAATCTTCTCACAGGTGGCACAACCAAGTCAGGCTGGACAGGATTCAACAAACCCCCTAAAGGACTCTGGATTACCTAATGATCTACAAGTCATATTGTTTCTAAGTAACCCTGCTAGACTTAACCATTGACACCTCTTTAGATTCTGTGTACCTTTGTGACTGAATGAAAGCAAACTGCTTTGTTAGTAACTCGCAGTGGCCCATCGATGGTTCTTCCAAAGCATTCTTCCCTAAAAGGCTTTAGGTTACCATAAAAGAGCTGCTGGAGGTGGTGGAGGTTGTTGAATAAGGACAGAGAAATAGTTCTGTTTTGCTGACCTCTTCACACAGCAAAGTCCCAAATCTGAGTTTAATTTGCTTGTTTTCTTCCACTAGTGATGCTCTAAATTAGTGGTTCCCAAAGTGGGCGGTACTGCCCCCGAGGGGGGTGGGATGCCTTAGGGGGGTGCTAAGAGGCAAGGGGGCCAGCAGGGGGGCGCTAGGAGGCAGCAGGAGGGCATTCGAGGTGCTGGCCCTGCAGGTTCACTCATTGACTGTAGCACCGCTCCAGAGCTGGTGCCTCCAATGCGGAAGCGGTGGCACATTACATGCCGCCATGGCCATGTTCGATGCGCCGCCCCCTGCCGCCTCTTAGCGCCCCTCTGCTGGCCCCCTTGGGGACGCTAAGAGGCGGCAGGGGGGCATTCGAGGCGCCGGCCCTGCAGGTTCACTCATTGACTGTAGCACTGCTCCAGAGCCAGCGCCTCCAATGAAGAAGCGGTGGCACGTTATCTGCCGCCGCGGCCGCGTTCAACGCACCGTCCCCCTGCCACCTCTTAGTGTCCCCAAGGGGCCCGGCAGAGGGGCGCTAAGAGGTGGTAGGGGGGCGTTCGAGGTGCCAGCCAGCCCTACAGCTTCACTCATTGAGGCGCTGGCTCCAGAGCTGTGCTTCAGTCAATGGGTGAACCTGCAGGGCCGGTGCCTTGAACGCCCCCGTGCCACCTCTTAGCATCCCCAAGGGGGCTAGCAGAAGGGCGCTAAGAGGCAGCAGGGGGCAGCGCGTCGAACGTGGCCGTGGCAGCATGTAACGTGCCACCGCTTCCGCATTGGAGGCGCCGGCTCTGGAGCAGTGCTAGTCAATGGGTGAAACTGCAGGGCCAGCCGGCACCTCAAATGCCCTCCTGCTGCCTCTTATCCCCCCCCCTGCTGGCCCCTTGGGGATGCTAAGAGGTGGCATGGGGGCATTCGAGGCGCCGGCCTTGCAGGTTCACCCATTGACTGTAGTAACGCTCTAGAACCGGTGCCTCGAATGCGGCAGCACGTTGGGAAAAGCCGCTGCCACCGCTTTCCCAAAGTGCCGCCACTGTCGCATTCTGTCTGTCTGTCCATCTGTCTGTCCGTCCATCCATCCAAAAGGTCTGTCTGTGCCTGCCTGCCTGCCTGCCTGCCTGCCTGCCTGTCTGTCTGTCTGTCTGTCTGTCTCTCTCTCTCTCTCTATCCATCCATCCATCCATGTCCGAAGCGCCGGCCCTGCAGGCACATTGATAAAGTAGAGCAAAGCCAGTCTGAGAGGGAGGGAGGGAAGGAGGGAGAGAGAGAGAAAGAGAAAGAGAAAGAGAGAGACCTGATGCATCAGATTGAATGAAACCTAATTTAAACTGAGGCCCTTTTCCACATTGAAACATCTTTGCCAGCACATTGAAACCTCTTTGGCTTCTGTTAAAGGTTTTGTGGACGAAACATGGTCAAGACAATCAGGAAGCTCTCACATTTTGTTGAGGCTTTAAACAGGATCCATTGGACCAGATCTCCACCCTAAAAATTACTTTTCCCCAATGTATTACAGTACCAATTCTGAAGAAGGCAAAACCAAAATGTACTGGTAAATTACAAGGAGAACACACACACACACACACTCCCTTCTAACCCTGCTGGAGCAGGTGATTGGACTAGAATAGATATCTCATTATCTTTCTCCTCCCTCCCTCCCTCCTTTATTTTTTCTTTCTGTCCCTTCCTTCCATCTTTCCCTCTGTCCCTTTTTCTTTCTTTCCCTTTTCTCTTTATTTTCTTCCTCTCTTCCTCTCTTTCTTTTCTCTCTCTCTTTCCCTCTCTCAGGCTCATCCCTTTGGATCAGGGGTCGCCAAACTTGTGGACCTCAAGGACCACCAAACTCATAATTTTAAATCCTGGAGACCACTAATATGAATTTTGACTGACGGTGGCTATCTGGTGTTGGTGGGAGAGAGAGAGAGAGAGAAAGAGATCTGATCCAACCTGTCTCTCTCCCTCTCTCTCTCACACATACAGGCAGGGGTAGGATTTAGACTCCTGATCTAAAGCTGTCAAAACTCCAAAAACTGGTCAAGTAGCTCTGGGGAGGCCAGTCATAAATTAGAACACTTGCTAAACAACCGGTCATTAAGTGAGGACCACTTGTATTTGGTTTGCCAGTCACCTGGCCACGCCCACCCAGTCACATGACCAGCAAGCCACGCCTACCCAGTCATGTGACCAGCAAACCACACCCTCAAATTAGGCCACATCCACAGAAATTTGAATCCCACCCCTGGGTAGGGGGCACCGAGGATGAGTTTGTAGCACCAAGGGGGCGGTGGACTGAAAAAGTTTGGGAACCACTGCTCTAAATATCTCTTCTGATGCTTTGTTTTGGAGTACTTCTAAAAATTAGAGGGCTCATCAGGACTAGTATATAGGAAGAAGTCACTTGGGAGAAATCTTGTTCAGAGTTTTTGTTATCTCCATATTCCAAAGACCAACTAGACTTCCCACATAACCATATACTATCCTACTGGGAAACTACCTAAGTGCTATCCAGAAACAAGCTAGACCTATCAGGTTGCTTGGGCAGAGCATTCTAATAGCTCCCAACTTCCTACAGTGGTTTGTGGCATTTAGCAATCCCATAGTTGTCAGAAAGTGAGAGGTGATTGGCCTCAAATTTGCAATCTTGAATCCTGTTTCACACGAGATTTCCCTCAGCCTTCCCTTCTTTTCTCTCCCTCTTTACCTTCCCTTCTTTTCTCTCCCTCTTCTGCCACCTCTCTTTGCTTTTCAGGAAGCACATGATAAACAATCTTCTATCTGCTGAACGTGCACAGATTTGAATAACTGTTTCTTTGCTTCCGTATTTCTGCCATAATTTTTTTTAGAAAGTAAAGAAAATAAAACCTTACCTATCCTCCAGATCCCTGTGGAAAGCAAAATTTAAGATACCCTTGTCTCCCGTTCTTTTCACAACTTGTCATCTCTCTAATCAATCTTAGAAGCAGGTATCATCTGAAAACATTGTTTTATTTTACTCTCTTTACATTCACATTTTTTGCAGGAAACTTCCAGGTCTGACTTTCCCTGTTTTTATAATTATCATCCATTGTTGTTAACATTTCAGAAAAAAAAATGTATTACCCAACTTTGTACCACATTCTACCTGACAGCACATTGAAATTTTGTTGAAAAAACTATCTTGAAATAATATGGGGAAATTTTCAAGGTATACTAGAATGAGCTTGTCTTTTTACTTTTAAGATATAATGTCTATGTAGATCCACTGTTAGATGCTCCATAACTTCAGTTGCCTCTAGCAACATAATCTAACATCTTAGTGTGTATGTGTATGCAGTGCTGTCTTATGCCTCTGCAGTAGCAGAGACAGACAGCATAATTGGTTTCCAAACACTTTTTAACCATCATAGAAAGTAAAATGTTGGGTATAATAAACACATTTCTGTATCTTCATTGCAGGAGGAAATAAATGTAAGTCTATGGTGGCAAACAAAAAAGTAGAAATATGGAAGCACATTATTTCGACTACACATTGTATTAAAGAGTAAGTTTTCATGAGCTGAGATGCAGCTCATGAAAGTTAATATTTTTTAATAAAATGTTGTAGTTACCAAGGGTCTACCAGATTCCTGATTCTTGCTTCCTCTTAACTATATCCAATTTTATCATGTTTTTATGTGATAAATTAATGGAACGGGCATGTAAGTTTTCATTATTGTGCTATTCTAATTTTATGGCAAGTGTTGAAAAAAATGGTGATCTCTGTTATTTTTGATAGGTTGTCATTTGTGATAGACATTCTGGACAATGAGTAATGTTTCCTTTCCCAGTGGGAAATAATCTATCATTGCTTACTCTTTACTGTCTTTGGACTTAAAATTGTGCATTGATTTGTAAATAAATAAACAAATAAAACATCACGAAACATCATCTTTCAACTGGAAATTGAAAGCTGTTGTATGGTAACCATAGAAGGACTGAAACACAGTCTTGATAACTAAACTCCTGGATGCTTACATGTCTTTTTCAGAGAGAGGGGATTTTCTGGGACTAGAGTTGAGTGTTAATCAGGTGAAAGTCTTGCTGTTACAACTGACGGATAATGTTGTTGAACCAATGGTGGTGAAAAAAAAGAATTTCTCATTTCCTGAGAAGATCTTGATTGGCAATGGACTGCAGGTATGGTTCTATATGTCTGAATATGTCAGTTTGTCTAATCCATTAATTCCATTTCAGCTCATCTAATCCATAATTACTTGTTATTATGATTTTATTGCTATTCTGCAGTCTTCATTTTTTTCCTCTTTCGTACCATAATTAAAAGTTATTTTATTGATTTTCTAATTTTTTTTTTACTTTTTCCCATTTTTCTTAGCTACTTTCATTTTGCTCTTGTTTGTTTTCTTGGAACTTCTGCTATATTCTTGGAAATACTTCGATTTTAGGAAGTAGAAGGGAACTCAGAGGAATTGAAGATGAATAGTTGGAATTCCTATTATTCCAACTATGAATAGTATGATCCACTTGTTCCCACAGTGCAATGCTGCAAAATATGCTACCTTTTACCTACATTTCTTCTGGTGCAGCAGTTGAAGTTATTTGGCTCAGTTGAAAAAAAATCTGCAAGAACTTGTTGGAACCTAAGGAGAAAGCACTAATCTTGGTCAGCACAGCTCCTACATATGGAAAGAGGCTGTGCCTTTTATTTTTGGGATAATCTGTGTCCTACAAGATCTTTAGCCACTTGAAAAATTTCTTTTTCATTTGAGCACATTTTAAATTTTAATTTTTAATATACTATAAATATATAATCCTTATATTTCCAGAGATAATAAAAATATAAGAAAATAATATTTCCTGCATGTTTTTTGAATATTAGTGGCTTTCCCTCCACGTGTTCCTTTTTTCGGTATGTTTTATTTACACTTGCTCAAGTTCTCCTATATATTAACAGAGGTTATCCATAGGTTATAAAATTGGACAGTGAGAAGGTTAATTCCTTCCTTCTTGATTTAATTTCCAACCAACCTTAGACAGATGTCTAAGTTTTTCCTCTTGCAAAGCATATATATGCACGCATGTTACATAAATTTTAAAAAGTGAAATAAATATCCTGTAGTATATCATTTAAAAAAAACGGATTCGTTCATTCACAGATTTCCTAAAAGCTTATCTAATTTGGAAGTATGTTTATTTTCTCTTACATTTTAGCATGCTTGGCTTTTTCAGAGAAATTAGAGCCAGAGATCTGAACAAAATAAGGGTATTGTAGTGATACAATTTCAATAGATCATTGAACAATCATACATTGCAATGTCCTACCTGTCAATGAATACTTCAGCTTCAACCATAACAACACAAGAGCACACAATAGATACAAACTCAAGGTTAACCGCACCAAACTTGATTGCAGGAAATACGACTTCAGCAACAGAGTCTGGTCAATGTCTGGAATACTCTACCCGACTCTGTGGTTTCTTCCCCAAACCCCAAAAACTTTAACCTTAGACTGTCTACTATTGACCTCACCCCTTTCCTAAGAGGTCTCTAGGGGGCGTGCATAAGCGCACCAACGTGCCTACCGTCCCTGTCCTATTGTTTCATTTATTTTCTTTTATTTTTCTTATATGTACCCATTTCATGTATTCATAACTATGTATACACTTATACTTATTATCTTGTAAACAATTGACAAATCAAATAAATAAATAAATAAATAAATAAATAAATAGATAGGTTCAAATGCCCATTCAATCATGAAGCTCATATACTTGAGCTAATCCCTATATCTATATTTAGACTAATTACCTATCTTGTAAAATTGTTGTGAGAATAAAATGGTTAGGAGGCATGTATAATTTGAACGATAGATGATAAACTAATAAATTGAGGAGGAGGATTCAAGTCATGTTATCTGATTCCAGGTTCAGTTCCGGAAATTTTATTTTGACTTTAGGATGGGGGCATAGTCTGTCTACTTCAAATGTTCTTCTTCTTCTTTCAGGTTTTTGAATTCATGGCTCAATGCCTGAGCACATTTTTGGGTGGACTTAACTTAAACAAGAAATATTTCCCACTGGGTTTCTCCTTCCCCTTCTCTTGTGATCATACTGCAGTGAACCAGGTGAATAATTGGTTGACAATAGTAAACTATCTGAAAGACTAGAAACTGTGTTTCTTAGATTGCCATTTTCTGAATGGGAAGAACAAAGAAGTAGAAATAAGATTTGACCATGACTACTGCCATACAACACTGCCTGGCAAGGAATAGCTGTAAAGAGATTTCTACATTAATGTTTTATATAGTGTCATGTAGCATCACCCTGTCATTGTTGTGGCAATATAAAGCCTGTCTTCATTAGTGATATATCGCCATAGCAATAGTTGCATGTTCTAAAAGATGCTATAAATCATTGGAGTGAAAAATGCCTTGCTTAAAAGGACTGGGAATAGAGCTAACCTAGTTTGAGGCAAAGTAAGGAAGCAGTATCAGGTAATAAGAAAAAATTAGGTGTCTAAGGATAGAACTACACAACTTCCCCATTGACTTTGATGTACCTTGCTATCCTTGAATATGATGGGGAACACCTATTGCAAGTTTGAAATAAGATTCAAATATCTTAATTTGAAGACATTCCAGTTGGAGTAATATTTTTTTTTTAGAAACAGAATTGATAGGAGCCTCAGAGGCCATTTAATCCAGTTGCCTCCTTAGTGCAGGACCTGCTAAAATGTTTTGGGCAGATAGCTGTTCAGTCTTCAGTGAAGGCCTTTAATGAAAGGGAACATAGCACTTCATGATGCAATCTATTGCATTTATTGATAGCTCTTACCATTCAGAAATTCTTTGTAGTATCTAATCCAAATCTACTTCACTGTAATTTCAATCCACTGGTTTTGTTCCTGCTCCTCTGTATGATAACTTTTAAATAAGATTGCTATCGTATCACCTCTTCGTCTTCTCATATCTGAACTGCTAACTGTTCCTCATGGGCTTGATTTCCAGTCCTGTTACCATCTTGGTAGCATTTCTCTGAATTCACTCAGAGTTATCAATATTTTATTTGGACTTCAGTGCCTAGAACTAGAACAATATTCCAAGTGGAACTAAAAAGGCAGATGAAGTTTGGACAATTACTTTCTATGATATGGGTTCCCTACTCCTGCTAATGCATCAAAAATGATACTTTTTTAGTAGCTTCATTACATTTTTATTCATGTTGTTATAATCTATTAGAACATTTGGAGCTTTTTCACATGTATTAACAAACTAGTTCTCCCTTATCCCATGCTTGCAGATTTTGTGTTTTTTTCCCCCGAGGTGCAAGATTTACACCTCTCCCTGTTAAATTTCAGGGAGTTCAACATTTATTCAGCCCAGTTTTGAAGCCTGTCTAGATCTTTTGGAATCTTCTGTTTCTCTCCCATAATATTATCCACTGTTCCTAGTTTTTGCAGCCTCTGCAAGTCTGATCATCATCCCCTCACCTTTTACATTTATTAAGGTTACTAATAAAAAAAAAGTGTGACTAATTCAAGCTGACGTCTTTTAATTGTTGCAATCCTATATAAGTGACCACAGTCATGCTGTTTAGTAATCTGTTCCAGGATCCTGTCCTGCACAAATGTCAAGCTGATAAGAGCTGTAATTTTCCAGATCTTCCTTCCTGTTATGGAAAAAAGAAGGGATAGCATATGGTCTCTCCTTCAGGATTCTGGGGTCCCTAGCAGGTCTCCATTTCCTAAAGGTTAGCTAATAGTTTTGTGATAAACTCCATTAGTTCTTTCAGTACTCTTGATTGTAATTTGATGCTTTAGTTCAGGGGTGTCAAACTCATGTCGTCACAGCAGTGTCATGTGACATATCAGGACTTTTTTTTAATTTGCTAAACAGGACGTGGTTGTGGCCAGCATGTGATGCATCCAACCCTCAGGCCAGGACCTTGACAGCCCTGCTCATTTAAATTAGCTGGAGTTATTTTAAATCCTCTTGTCTGTCCTATGATGCAGCTCCTCCTACTAGGGCACAGTTATGGCCAGTTAAGGCTTGTTTCTTTTCTGGGAAAAGATATATTTTTCATATTGTTTCCTTGCCATTACCAATTCTCTTTGCAACCAGGTCTATATCATCTTTTCTTTTTCTTTTTTCTGATACACCAGAAAACTATATTTTGCGGTTTTGAGCACTTCTTACAAATTTCAAGTAATTTTAAGTTTTACTTCTTAAAAGAAAGAAATATCTACTTTCTGGCCTTATGTCTTTGGTTATATACCATTTCCTTAAAAATAGATTCCTTAATATTTTTCTTCTCCACATTCACTTACAATATCCTCCACTTTTTATGTTGAGTTTGTTCTCCTGAATAAGTTGTAATTTTTCAGGTTATGTTCCAATTGAGGGTCACCTCAATGAAATTTGCTGGTGTTTATATTATCTGTCTCTATTAGGCTTCTCTGTTCACTTCTCATATTCTGTGTTTTAGTGTAGGAATATGAGATTGTGAGTGATAGTCTCACTATTTTTAAATCTATCCTCCTCTCTCATGCTCCTTCCTTTATTTCTTGTCTTGTTGACCCCAATTTTTTTCTGGTATATTTCATTCCCAGCTTTTGTTACCCTCTCTCTTTTGCTCTAGATTAATACTCTCTGATAAGACTAGTGTGGTACCCACCGAACATGATTTCCGCATCTTTTAAAGTTGTAGCCCTTCTCTTTTCAGAAAACATTCATTCTTACATTAGATCAGGAAGCAAATCGTCCTAGATTAGCCTTAAGTAAGAGACTTTTATTTACAGTTTACCACTCTACATATTATGTTCTGAAAAAGAGTGCTTGTAGGTAATATCTTAGTTTTATAGTGGCTATGCATACGTTGAAGAAAATTCCCTCTCTGTTTTTTCCCTTAGTGTAAACTGATCAGATGGACAAAGGATTTCCGATGGCCAGGTGTGGAGGGGAAAGATGTGACCAAATTGCTCCAAACTGCTATCAATGAGAATTGCAAGGTTAGAGTAGTAACTGGGTCAATGGCAGTAAAAACAGAGGTTTGTGTAAGACAGAGCAAGGGAGCCACTTTGATCTTTCTCTTACTTTTAACTACTCTAGAATTACCAAATAGAGGTCCTTGCTATTGTGAATGATACTCTGGGAGATTTGATGAGCTGTTCTTCTACTGTCAGGCCATGTCAAATAGGAGTAATGATAGGTAAGCAAATGCAAGATATTATTGCTGATCAACTACAAGGATCATACATGCCACACTTTAGGGTTTATTTTTTTGTGCCCAGGTGTTAAATATATATGTCATACTGAAAGCTTCTTAACTGAATATTAGACAATATCCATAAAGATAGTAAGGAAAACCAGAAAAGTTTTGCATTTCCTCAAAACAGTGAACACTAGACATTTTCCAAGATAAAGCAATATCATCACAGATGTGTTCACTATCTTAAATAGTTTAGCAATTTCAAAGATCTATAAAGGTGGTAGATAGTTTCATTTAACTTTCAAGTCTTGTGCTTAGTGCTTTATTGTGATTATTTTCTTTGCATTGTGCTTCTCCCCTGTTGTTTCTTTTCCTGGTAGATGCTGGCACTAACTGTTGTTATATGGAAGATACAGACTGCATACCAGGAAGCACACAGGAACCTAGGGGACATATGTACATAAACACAGAATGGGGGTCCTTTGGGAGTAATGGAGAATTGAATGAGGAAGTAACAGAGTTTGACTTGTTGGTAGATAAAGAATCCATGGATCAAGGAAAATGCAGGTGAGTCACAGTAAAGGAAATGAAGGCAACATTATGATTATGAAGCATTAACCTATATTGCCACAGAGAAGAATCAGTGAGTCAATGGATTGTGTCATTTGTGCATTCCAATAAAAAAAGTCAGAGTTGTTGCTTCAAATTTCATTCTTGAAGCCCCAAAGATTACAGATTGCATTTATAACAAATAAATTTCATGCAATACCAAACAAATTCATGTCTATGTAATATTTTTATTAGATTCAATCAAAACACAGAAACTCTTCATCTGGTAAAATATTGCAAAAAGAGACAGAGGGAAAAAGCAAAAAAAAAAGAGGTTGTTATGTAATCCATGAATTCAGTGGCTCAGAGCTTGAATCAATGGCAAACCACTTCAATCCACACTTGTTTCCACTAAGTTAAAATATTATTATGTATATTTGCCTTGCTTTATCCCATCTTATCTATACTTCCATTTGTTTTTTTCTGGATTTCCAATTTAACATATCTAGAGAAACCTGCCCTGGAACTAGGATCCTAAAATTACAAATCTATAGTTGGTTCCAGGATTGTAAGTAAATCCAATAATTCTGATTCCGTATATTACACCCATTTGTTAGTGTGAGATAAACTTGTTTGGTCTTTTATAGCACCAGATATTAATAAGACATAGCCAAGCTGTTTTGTGAATTGTGTACAATTTACCTGCTAGCTACCCAGGATGGATGTTTCACTGCTTCCACTCAAATTTCTTCTTTGGGCAATGATTTTCCTGTGTTATTGCTGCCAGGTTTGAGAAGATGACCAGTTCCTATTACGTGCGTGAGATTGTCCGAATTATTTTGGCTAATCTGTCTGGGAATGCTGAATTATTCAATGGTGTTCTGACTCCCACATTATTAATCAAGGGGAAGCTGACACTGCAAGACATTGTGGAGGTCACAGAGTAAGCTAATCTTGTGATACGAGATTTTTCTTCTTACACTAAAAATAATAGTAGAATGAGATTTGGGATGATTTATTAGTTTAATCTTAGTCCTACACATGGCAATCAGGAGGAGTAAGCCTTTTAAATTTCACTTGTGACTCATGTTTTAAAAAATATATTAACTTCTTCATTTGAGTATCTGCAGAGTGCACAGATATATTGTTTATGGCATCTCAGATAGGATAACTGCTAGAATAAAATATCCTTATAGAAGAAGGTAGCAAAGAAATGGGATTTTAGAGGTCATATAAGGCAGGGCTTGCCAACCTTTTGGACCTCAGGGACCACCAAACTCATAATTTTAAATCCCAGGGACCACTAACTGGTTCTGTGGGCGTTGCTTGGTGGTCATGTGACTGGCTGGGCATGGCTTGTATGTAAATATTATAAATATTTATATAAATATTGAATTTTTTTATAAAAAAGAGCAACTTTTACCCAAAATCAGGCAGGCAGATTGAGTTGCTCACAGAATTATTCAGTAATCTATCTGTCATCGGCTAGCTCAGTCTCTCAAATTTGCTTGCCGTGAGTCTGCACTGAATAACAGAACCGTCAATCCTAAGGGAGGTTTGGCTGTGCTTAAAAGCAGAGCCGAAGATCTAAAGACTAGCTAGAAAGCAAGAAATCCAACCATTTCCTGCTTCCTAGCTAATCTAAATCTCTCGGCACAGCAGAACAGCTGATGGTCGGAAAAAGGAAAAATAGCAATTTTAGCAGGCAAGTTTGCCGGGTAAGGAGTGAGTGGGCGGGGAGGGTTCCCGCGGGCCATGTGGACGGCACAGCCTTGTGTTTCTGCAGAGCCTGGATTGCTTTGGGGGGAGGTGCTCTGGAGGTGAGATTTCTCTGCAGCCCACCAAAATTTTCTCACGGCCCACCAGTTGGCAACCACTGATATAAGGTATATAACATTCTGAAAAACACATACACACAAAAACCGCCAGAGCATTATTTTATGGGGTATCAATTATGTATGAAATATTTGTGTGTCTTTACTAGTGCAACACATCATATACAAGCCAAGATATAAAGCTATTTTAGAAGTGTGATACACTTGATAAACTAATCTATATAATCACTGTTGCAAATCATTGAAGATGATAAATGGTAATTAATAAAAAAAAATGGTTTTCACTGACAGGGCATTATGCTACTCCAAAGATTACATACATTAGGTAATTTCCTTTAAAACAGACATCATTTGAAATACAGTATTTCAATTGATATTACATTTATTTAATATAGTATTAAAATGTATGTGGGTTTTGGCACAATTTATAAACGAGTTTAATTACATTTTTCTTACCTAGAGAGTGGTTTTATGTAAGACATGTAAGACGTGAAAGAAAGAAGTCACATGTTAGGAGAGTTAGCAATTTCAAATTTGTTATTACTGAGCAGACTATTTCACAAACTCTCTTTCTGTCATTTCTTTTTCCTTCTTTTGCAGAAATTCCATCTGCTTTTCCTGTAATGGTGCTTTAGGACAGCTTGTATGCTAAAATTGACCATTGTTAAGGTTAACTAGGTCATTTTTTTATCAAGATGTGCATTTCTTCTTCCAAGGCCATTGAAGAGGTTAGCTGGTTAGTATTTAGTGTAGACTAAACATTAAACCATGATTAAGGAATCCCAAAGGTGCTATTTCAAGAGGCATCTGGAATTTATGGTTTTTCTTTGAAGACGTTTCACTTCTCTTCCAAGGAGCTTCTTCAGTTCCTTTTCACTTCTTGGATGAGAAGTGAAACGTCTTCAAAGAAAAACCAGAAATTCCAGATGCCTCTTGAAATAGCACCTTTGGGACAGCCATGATCTGGATGACTGAAAATCTCCATAGACATTATTAAGGAAAGAAAGTTAAACTGAATTTGCATTGGTAATACATCATCTATCAAACTATTATAGCTGGATTTATTCATTTTCATTTAAAGACAATAATCTTTGCTGAGGTCAGAACTGGTTGTGTCTTCTGCATGCATCTCCCTTAACTCATATATATTTTTAATTACAGTGATAAAGTGGGCCTTGCCAAAACCAAAAGTTTTCTTAGTCGTCTTGGACTAGTGGCAAGCAATCAAGATTGTTTCCATGTGCAAGAAATATGCAAAGCTGTATACACCCGTTCTGCCAAACTCTCTGCTGCTGGATTGGCTGCCATTCTCGCACATATTCATGAACAACAGCAGCTCCCAGAGAGGAAGATCTGTCTCATGAGTGGGGACTTGTACAAGAGCTATCCATTGTAAGGAACTGTATGGGACAGTGGAGCATTTATTTTCATCAGACCAATGCTAGTCTCTCTTGCAATAGTTATTGGTATTATTGCTGTAATTAGCATGTTTTTGTTAGCATTTCTCCTGGATTAGGGTACTAGTTCTAAAAAGTTTTTCTACAAATGATTTTTCTCTTCTTCAGCCTAGCAGCCAATATTTATTTTTATTATCAGCTGAGTTAAATCTGCCTAATCCTTTGTTTTGCTGCAGTTTCTTGTATTGCTGTAAGCCATCTGTATTGGGGGAGGGGCGGGGAGAGAGATAAATGGTTCTATCCAGTTAAATATTTTTAAGCTTGAATTGTTTCCTTTGGATAGTTGATTCTGCTAAGCTAAAGAAGTTGTTTACACCATCTCAAACTATTTTTTTTTACCATTTTGTATTAAAATTTGGATAATGTGAGGCCAATATATGCATATAATAAGCGAATTTACTCCTTTTTTAACATGATAATCGTAAAAAGGGGCATAGGTCAAGAAAGAGTGATTGGACCAATGCAATGGATTACTTTTTGTCTTTATCCTTCAAATAGCCTTGGCATTTCTTCTCCCTCCAGGTACAGTGAGATACTACAGCAAACCCTGAAAGAGCTGGTTCCTGAATGTTCTGTCAAATTTATCCCATCAGATGAAGGCAGTATCTTAGGGGCTGCCATAGTGGCAGCTGTAGAAGCGAAGCTTAGAAACCATCGAGAGGGACTGGCTCAAGTTCTGGCTCCTTTTAAGCTTTCAATTGTAGATCTTGAAAGATTACGGAATGGAATCAGACAAGAGATGGATAACGGCCTGTCAAAGGCACCCAACAAGAAAAGTTGTCTACGCATGTTGCCCACTTTCGTCTGTTATTTGCCTGATGGCTCTGGTGAGAAAAGGAAGCTGGGTAGATCCCTATATCCAGAGAGGGAAGCGATTTGAACTGTATTTATGGACTTTGCCTCAGGGAAGTCAGGAGAAAGCTCTCCATGTGACTGGATCTTACCCGGTCTGGTTATTTATTTGACCCAAGACCACTGCTGTTTATGTTGCTGCAAAGGGCACTATGCTTGCTTTTATTTATCATTCCACCTTTATTATTATTTTTAAATATAACGCAAGGCAGTGAACCTGTCTAATACTCCTTCTTCTTTCCCTAAATAACAACCCTGTGAGGTGGGCTGGCTTCAGAGACAGTGATTGTCCAGAGATTTCCCAATTCATGTAGGACAATAGATTTGAACAATTTCACATGCAGGAATGCACTTTTACCCCAGACTTACACTTGAGATCCAGTTATCATTTCCTACTGCACATATTTGCAGTGGCAACATATATTGTTTTAATCTGCCAGTAGTTCAGCAGCAAACTAGTAATAGGTCTTAAGCCATCAGATAAAAAAAACTTATATGCTAGAGGGCAAATAAGATTTGCTGGAAGAAAATGACATGTTTCCTTTGACTCCATTTGTTAAGGTTGGCAAGAGATTTGCCTCACAGGAGAAAAAGTAGGGTTTTCTTGAAGCATTCTGATGAAGATTGTGAGTTTTAAACTTCTGTCTATTTCACTGAGGCTGTTGTTGTCCATACACTTTTTATAGAGAGAGGGGATTTCCTGGCACTGGATCTAGGTGGAACCAATTTCCGAGTATTGATGGTACACGTGAAGAGCCAAGAGGAGGGTGGTGTGCACATCATCAATGAGATTTACGCCATTCCACCAGAAATAACCCAAAGTACTGGGGCACAGGTAATCGCAGGAGAAGCATGATACGGCTTTGGTTGATTGAGCATGAATGGATTGTGGATTTCCTGAATTCTTGTGACATATGAATATGGATACTCTTTTTAGTATTAGGACTAGCAATTTTGCCTATCGAGTTACTTCAACTCCAACTTTATTTTTGCATCATATCCCACTCCCTTCTTTTGTATTCCTACAGCTTTTTGACCACATTGTGAATTGTATGGTGGATTTTCATGCTAAGCACGGGATGTCTGAAAATGCTCTACCACTCGGTTTCACTTTTTCCTTTCCATGCAATCAAATAAGCCTGGATAAGGTATGAAATTGAATGGGTGGGATTCTATTATGCAGATGTATGTATATTGTATTGTATATAACAAGAGATGAAACAGGAAAGAAACCAGAATGAACTCATGAAATATGAAAAAACAACAACCAAGTGTTTTCTCCTTATTGTATTTCCTGTTTTTAATTGAAAATCACCTACAAATGTTCTAGAGTTGGATAGTCTCTAAAACAATCAATATCAACCAATTGAAAAGATGGACAAAGAATTTTTAAAAACCAAGGAAAAAAATTGGGAAATCCAGCTATCTGCTGGGAATGCCACCAGTAATGACTTCCAGAGAACATTTTTTCTGATAGGGGTGTTCCAGAGGTGAAATTCAACCACCTCTCACTACCTTCAGAGAGGTGGTAGGGACGATTTGAATCGGTTGGCCCCGCCCATACCCACCCGCCATCTTCCTTTTAGAGACTGAGTCCCACCAAGCCATGCCCACCAAGCTACGCCCACAGGGCCAGCAGGGAAAAATTTTGAATTTCACCCCTGAATAGTTCCATTATTTTCTTCTGGTAAGTCATGACTTGCTATAATTCTGTAAAAGCGTAGAAAAGCTATCCAGTTCTGAATTGGAATGTTTCCAGTCTTCACAGTTTTTTAGGGCACATTTGAAACTTTTAAGATTTCATGGGCATTATTTTACAATATGGCTCTCAAGATAGCATACCCAGCTAGTACCTTTTTCTCATTCAGCATGGTGTGCTCTACCCCAATTTAATTTTTTCCTTTTTTTCTGGCTAGATCTATATGCTTCCAATAAAATCCTGAGTAATTGCCACCTACTATTTTTCTGGAATGCCAGTGTGGTCTGTATAGCATATAATCCCATTTTTTTAACTTAATGATCCTTGCACTCCATTCAAGCTCAAGGAAGCCGCTTTATACTTGCAATGTACTTACAAAAAATACATACATTTCTAAACAATGGACGGACACTATATTGCCTAGGCCAATTTAAGGGTTTCATCGAATAGCATGTTATGTACAAACAGCTTGGAGACAGCAGCTGTACTTGAACCATTCCAAGCGGGCAATTTCCCTTTTTTTCTTGGCATTGACAGGGCATCTTGCTGAGATGGACTAAGGGCTTCAGTGCCACTGACTGTGTAGGAGAAGATGTTGTGAATTTGTTGCGGGATGCAGTACAGCGTCAGAAGGTATATATAACATGCAAAAGCAGTGTCTAAGCTTAACTCACACTGATCAAAATGGTGCTATAGATGGGGAGAATATATGCTATATTCCTTTGCAAACTATATACTTACTCACTGATTTTCTAAAAGAAATGCAACTTCAAGAAATACAACCGAGCCTAGTTTTTCTTTTCCACGAAGTGGGGACTTATATCATGTGAAATGGTCTGGGGGTGGGGGGATTTTTTTTAACAAATCTAAGCACAAAGGAGAAGGAGCAGGTACTGAAGTACGTCTCTTCAGATTTGGGTTGTCCATTCCAAATTCTTCCTCCCGGTTACTTTACCCCACGAAAAGTAGTCTTTTCCTGTTCATTGCTTATGTATATATGTAGTTCCACACACAGGATTTCCCCCCCAACTTAATGAAGTTTGATAATGGGCTGCATGAGAGAAAATAACCTAAACTTAAATCCTACAACAACATAGAAGTAGTGTTAGTAATCTGGAAACTGGATTTGCAGATTTAAGGGTATCCTGTTTTGCACAGTCCTGTAATCCTCTGAAGGAAAGATTTGCAGTCTGGGAATGTTCCTTGATCTCTGACCCTTTGGATTCTTGGTAAATTGTTGCAGCAAGGATTGCCTTTGCATTGTTTTGTAGGTTTGGTGAACAGGGTTCTGCTCTAAACCAGTTATTTTGGCAGTGGCTATCCTTGCCTTAGTTATTATACCCCATCTTGACTACTGCAACATTTATCACGGGACTATCTTTTAAACATTTCTTGAAGCTGCATTTGAAGTTGTTAAGTGGTACAAGATTTTTGGATCATATGATACTTACACTGCAAGATCCAACTTGGAAATCATCTGTGGGTATCATTGAAGGTATTAATAGTAACCTTTAAAATTGCAAACTGTTGAGACTTTACCTGAATCTTTATGAACTTATCTGATTTTAACTTTGGGAGGAAAGACCTGCTTGAAGAAACTCCTGCTATCAAAGGACCATTTTTCTAGCATACGGAAGGCGTACTTCTCCCAGGTGTTCTATGGAATACACTATTTTTTTTGAGGGGGGGTGTGTCTAGCAGCTGGTCTCTTCCCCCCTCCCAGCCCCAATCCTATATGTAGGACAAGAATGCAGCTTTTTTTGCTAAGGCTTTCATTATTAGATGATTCAATATTTATTTTATGTATTTGTATTTGTAGTTTTTATATACTATTTTTATTTTTACATAATGTTAGTTACCATGAACACTTGCCAGACAAGAAAAGTTGGATATAAATTAATATCTAAGACAAAAGAAACAATTGACTTAGTGGATTGCAGTATTTACACTCAGCTTACCAAGGTCAGTTCAAGACCTGGTAGCTGCATTCTTCTATAGTGGTGTCCTCAGAGAGGTTCACAGATTTAGGATTGGAATAAAGCCCCAATCTTTTGTACATTTGTGTGATATAACACACATAAAAAGGGACAAAGTTTGGCTTGTCTTGTTACAGCCACTATAGTATCTTGCTTGTTTTGACACTACCACTCATCCACACTCATGCTGCTGTTGATATAGAATATTATGCTTAGAATGTTGATTAAAAATCTTGATTAGATTTTTTTGGGTGACATTATATTGTATTAACCCAAACCATCTGGTTTTTAGTTCATTGCATTGTAGCAACTCAAAAATAGATCAATTCAGTGACTGGTATATGTTGTGCAAATGCAGTCAGTATATACTGCATAGTGTGCCATAATTGAAGTACAGTATATCAGATTGGAAAAGTGACTGCCCCTATTCTCATCATATGTGGTACACAATTGGCCGTTAATCTGATCAGTTCTTACTGATACCAGCACATAATTATACAGTTACATAATCACACAATTACTGGTTCAAAAGTCACTATTTGGAGAACAAAAACTTCACATATTCTCTATGAACTACTTATCTCATAAATTCTTACACCAGAGGAAAAAAAATAAGTGACAAAACTTCATTGTATCGTTGACTCCATTGGCCAGGCAGAGGTGGGTTTGGCTTGGATGCTGACAACCACTACACTGGTTTAGGGTGGATGAAAAATACTGCAAGTGAGTTTATAAAGGTGAGACTTGAGTTTACAACTATAGCTACAGTTTATATTTACTTCTTTTGATGGAGAACCAGAGGATTTTAGAGCTGCCTCACCTTTTACTGGGTTGTTTGAACAAAATGGGTTTATTGAAGAAAGGTGGTTTAACTTCCTTCTAAATCCTGAGCCATTTTGTGTTAAAGCTTACCCTACTCATCCATTGCTACTTGGGCTAAGGCATTCACGAGTGTACCTATTTTGCAATTGATTTAGTGAATCTAGTTTCATAAACAAACATTGATATCCCTTCACCAAATCAACTGGATAGTAGTGACACAGTTGAAGAGCTCCCTTTAGGCTGATAGGGCAGCACTTCCAATATTAAAAGAGAAGGAAAAGACGACTAATTTTCAGTGCGACAAACCCAATGGATCTGTGCTGGTTACTTGGTGACAGGAAATCATGTTGCCTGGTAACACATCTTGCTGTTTTCTCTCTCCCTTCCGCACTTTCTTTTCCCAGACTATTGATGTAGATGTGGTTGCCTTAGTGAATGACACAGTGGGAACAATGATGTCATGTGCCTACTTAGACCGTAACTGTGAAGTTGGTCTTATTGTTGGTAAGTTGGGAAACAGCATCATTTATGATTTCAAAAATTATATTTTGTCTTTCAGTAAACTAGGCAAATAGAATGAGAGATCAGTAGGATGAGTCTTTATAGATAGTAAAAGGTAATGTAAAGGAGTCCCTGTGGATTTTACTCCACTGGTCGTTGCTGACTAAAGGGGGTGGTGCTCATCTTTGTTTCAAGGCCATTGAGCCAGTACTGTCTGAAGACATTTCCGTAGTCATTTGGCCAGCATGACATCACAGAGCTCTCTTACTTTTCCACGGAAGTGGTACCTATTTACCTATTTGCATTTACATGCTTTCGAATTGCTAGGCTGATAGGAGCTGGAATGAGGACAGGAGCTCACCCTGTCACATGGTACTTGGGTCTCAAACCTGGGCTTCTGGCTTTCCAGCTGACAAGCCCAGCATCTTAACCCCTGAGCCACTTATCTGCCCCTCTTTATAAATAATAAGACTGTGTAAATGAGTCCATCTTTGAAGTTCAGGAGGACATTTTCCTAAGTGCAGATTCGTCCTTCCTCTGCGTCTTGGCATTGTTGGCTACATGTCCTGTTGTTCCAGGCCATTAATCCTTAATATATGAGACTATATTCCTAATACATTTAAAATGCAAAAATAATTGGGCAGACTTTTTTTAAAAAAATTATCCTTGGCCCACAGTATTTTCTTGGTCAGAATGGAGGAAAGTATGATAGTAAATTTTGAGCAATGATTCATTTCCTCTCTTATTTTATCTCAAGGAACTGGATGCAATGCTTGCTATATGGAAGAAATGAGAAATGTGGGCACCTTGGATAGTAATGATGGCAGAATGTGCATCAATATGGAATGGGGGGCATTTGGAGATGATGGCTGTCTTGAGCACTACATAACGCCTTATGATGACATAGTGGATAAAGAATCTCTCAATTCTAGCCAACAAAGGTGACTCTGTGTAGTTTTTATTGAGGATTGACTGGTGGGGTCTGTGGTGATGGCTGCTGGTAAGATCATCTCCTTGTATGATACTGATTTCCATGTCCCACAGATTTGAGAAGATGATTAGTGGCATGTATTTGGGTGAGATAGTGCGCTATGTTCTGTTGGAGTTAGCATCTCGCAATATCCTCTTTAAGGGTCATGAGTTAAAAGGACTTAACAACAAAGGCATCTTTCCCACTAAATTATTATCAGACATTGAGAAGTAAGTATTTATATATTCGATTGTCTATAATTATTTTGCTTGATACTAGGAACCTTGCCATTAGATGTAGAATTTAAGTTCCAATGCAGTTAAAATGCCTAAATTTATCAGCTTTAGATTTTACTATTCTATCTATTCATCTTTCTGTCTGGAGTGAACTTACTTGGCTTTCTCATGTCTATCTTGGTCTTTCCTTTCAATGAAGAACAAGATAAAAGAACTGTTTTTCCCGAAAGCCATCACCCTGCTAAACAAATAATTCCCTCAACACTGTTCAACTATTACAAAGTCTGCACTACTATTACTGTTAATCTTCTCATCACTCCTTATCACCCATCCCCTCCCACTTGTGATTGTAGGACTGTAACTTTGTCACTTCTATCCTTACGATTTATATTGACTGTTTCCTAGTATGATTTGATTGCTGATTGTACCCTATGACTATCATTAAGTGTTGTATGTTATGATTCTTCAATCTTAACGAATGTACCTTTTCTTTATGTATACTGAGAGTATTTACACCAAGACAAATTCCTTGTGTGTCCAGTCACACTTGGCCAATAAAGTATTCTATTCTATCCTGTTCTATTCTACTCAGACTGCATCTGCCCTAGTGTCTAAATTCTGTAAAAAGTCAATCAGAACAAGATTTAGAAAATAGGCAAGTTGGTATATGACTATAGAGTGATCATGGATGCATTATACATTGTATGGAACTGTGCAGGTTTTTGTTTAGAATGTGCCAAATATTACTGATCACAGTTGGTCATACAAACAATGTCTTTAGAATGAGTATGCCTAAAAGGAGGCCCAATTGAGATTGCCAGAATCCCCATATTTCCACTTATTGTAAGGTTAGTAAAGAACCAGTTTCTATCTCTGCTTCTAATATTATTAAGTGACAGCCAAAGCCGCCAACATGTTTATCAGCTCCTGGAAGGGCTGGGGTTGCCCGTTTCTCCCGAGGATGCCAAAGTGGTGAAGGAAGTGTGTCATACCGTGACTTCACGAGCTGCTATGATGTGTGCAGCTGGAGTGGCAGCCGTTGTAGAAAAGATTCGAGAAAATAAGCGCATGACAAAGCTGGAGGTGACGGTTGGCGTGGATGGGACAGTATACAAGATGAATCCTTAGTGAGTTGACTTTTCTGTATCACGGGGGGGCAGGGGGGCAAAAATGTATTATATATAATCTTTGGGATATTTGGAGCTTGCAATGTTAGCTTTATTTTGTGGAAAAGAAAAAGGAGTAAACAACAAGAGCCAATATTTCTAGGCAGGGTGTTAACTTAGGTGTTATGTTGTTGGTTCGGGGTTTGCTTGATTCTGGGCTAAATGTTGTTTCCTTTTCCTATGGTAGTATTTCTTTCTATTTACAGCTTTGCAAAAAAACTTCAGGATACAGTAGCTCTGCTGGCTCCAAGCTGCAATGTCAAATTCTTATTGTCGGAGGATGGCTCAGGAAAGGGAGCTGCACTCATTGCTGCTGTGGCCTGCCGTACAAAGATGTCTTAATAAGCAGGAGACTGGATTGTTCTTCACTAGATACGGGCCTTGATGTGCAGCATGGACTTTATTCTTCTTTAAGGCAGCTGTGACAAAATTGCAGAAAGCCAGATTTCGGTAGCTGTGGTACTCCATCTTTGCAGTTTTGTTTAACATTTCTGATTCACGCTCAAAGCAAGGAGGGAAATAAACCAAACTCCATTGCCTCTTGGATTCTCAGGCTATCATCATTTTTCCAAAGAGCTTAATCCAGTTAGCTATGGTAGAAGAGGCTAATATGAAAGTAATTTCATAACCTCATCATTTCCACATCCTTAAGTTGCTTAGGAAAGCAACTGAATACTTCAAGCCACAAACTCTGGCTGCCTGTTTTAGAATTCAGGCTTCTATCAGTGAAGTATGAGCATAGATACAAGAAGCCTCATGTAGCAATATATATATATATAATTTATTTACATTCATGCCCGCCAAAACCCTGTGCGAGACGCTGATATGTACATAAGGCCAAGTGTAAATACTTGAATGCACTTGAATACAGAATAAAAAACGATCTTTACACAATACGGCATAGACCTGCCTGGTCCAGCACACGTTCACTGCACAGATCAGACTTCCACGCACACGCACAAATCCCTTGCATATACACTGGGCAAGGACTAAGGAGGCACAGATACAGTCACCAGGAGAGCAAGGCCCTCATCCTTTGGTTGACCTTCTGCTTCTTCCTTGTCCCATGGGTCTCCAGGTGTCTGCAAGCCACCAACTCTTGGGCTGCCCTCTCTGACTGAGTGTCAGATACCTCTTGGGCTGGAGCAAACATTTACAAAAATGGCTCTGGAACTATCCTGAGCTACCCTCTTTTTAAAAACTTTATTATGGCAAAGGGCTTCCTGGAGGATGCAGTGGACTGGACACAGATGACTAAGCTTCAAAGCAAAGCTTACCTTTTATCCTGGTCACTCACAATGACTTCTGTGCTAACCATTTTCTTTCCTTTTGCTTCCCATGCTAGAGTAGAAGAAAGCTCTAGAATAATTATCCAAGCCAGATGTCGGCATATCAGACTTGCTTGCCAGCCTACTTGGTAGAAAAACAGACCTACCCCAACCAATTCCAGAACTGCTTTGGTAGCAGCAGAGTAGGGATTTGGTAGCCTTTTCCATGGCTTCTGGAGACTGAGCCCAGTGTGTTTGCCTTCTGGCTGAATTTGGCACAAGGATCAGATAGGGCACACAGGCATATTCAAAGCAGGACAAGTACAGATGCTGTGACCCTTGAAATGGAGGTGCCCCTCATCATCTCCAGACTGAGGCCTGTGTTGTCCCTGTCTAGGGCTTTAGCACTCAGCTTCTGAAACCATGAAAAGGGAGCTGTCCTGCTTGCCCACTTCAGCCACAGCAGCAGCCAGCTGGTTGAGGTTTCCATTGGGGAAGTGACGTGCCTCCCATAAGTTCAAGATCATGGCTGTTGGGCTTGGTTTTGAAGCAAAGTAGCTGAGATGGCTGTGGAAAGAGGGAAAGGATACAAATAAAAACGGCCAGCATTTCTGTGATTGCAAACCTTCCCAGCACTCTATCAGAATTGCACAGCCCACATTACTACTACCCAGCTCACGTATTTCTGTACCAGCAAGTTCCATCTTCTATACTCGTACACTTTTATAGAAAGAATCCTTATACCTGTCAAGGTGCAGCTTCTGGGCTAAAGCTCTCCAGTCAGCCCCACGGGCCACTGGGGCATCCAGACTACTTATGATTTTCTGGCGGATAAGAAAAGGAATCTTGAAGGCACTGGGGCCCACCAGGGCAGGAGAGCCAGCCTCATGGTCTGGGGGTAGCCAATCCGAAAACCGTGCATCCTGAGGAAAAAGAGGCAATTATTAGGTCCTATATATACTCTCTTTGTGGTAAGTATTCTGGGCTGAGAGAAAAATCTAAAAGTATACAATAACAAGGTTGTTTATTCTATTTGGTCAGATGCAGGTTTTAAGGAGAATGAGGATTTCTAACTATAATGTTGTTTCTTTCCAAATATCCTCTAATTTGGCAACGCAGTTTGCTTCCTCAAACAAAAAATGGAGTCTAACAATCCGACCACTCCTCTAGCCACTGAAATTTCAGCAAGCGCTAGTCATATGCATTCAAGCATTTCTCCATATACTCTAGTTTATTAGAAACCTCTTTATATGAAAGATATAAGTTCCGCGACTTTATAGGCCAGAGTTTATGAAGCTAGGAAGGAGCAAAAAGGCTATATGGCTCTTGCTTGCACTTCTACTTGTTTGTTGGCTATTAGTGCAGAGATAGGATTTGACCAAATCCATTACTGTATCTGAAGTGGGACTTACTAATTTAAGGTTAATTGACTGCACAGGCTATTAAGACAAAAATCAGAATATGGCTAAAATTCTGTGTTATAAATCAACACTAAATTGATGTTCCTTGTTTCTGACAATACAACAGTTGGTATGGGTTTTGGGCTCCCCTTATCCAGGAACTGAAAATTTCCATCTTTGGTTTTATATAGGATAGCATTTTTCCACTCAGACCCAGTGTGTAATTTGGGAGCCCTGTTAAACTCATAGCTCTTGCTTAAAGAACACGTGGTAGCCTTGGTCAGGTGCTTTGTGCATCTAATGTGTTAACTGCACCCGTTCCAGAATTAGAAGGTATTGTATGTGGTCACTCATGTCTTAATCACCTCTTGGCTGAACTAATGTCCTCTACATGGGGCTGCCCTTGAAGACCATGTGGGAGTTGCTGCTAGCTCTCAGAAGGCTTATAGATGCAATTCAAGATGCTAGTTATCTTTTACAAAGTCCTGTATGGTACAGGGTAGACTGTTTCTGGTTATTTCATTTCACTCCCAATGTTCCAACAAACAAAGTGGACGTGAGGAGAAAAGGGACATAATATAGGTGAGAATGCAGTCCTAACAGTCATCCTGGTTCATGAACTGTAACTTAGGAAGTCAGGAATATTTCAGAACAGGTCTGTAATTTATTGTTTTCTGAGCACACAGATGGCTTGGCATTGGCTTTTACAATAAAAAAATAGCAAGTGGAAGGACTGTATACAAGACAAAGTCCTGTGACACAAATCTGCCCTGATGCCTACTCTCAAGTACGTTCAGCAGGACCTCTATGAGATCATACCCAATATTCTAGCTAGAAAGCCACATAAAGAACATGAAAGCTATTCAAAAGATAGGTAATAGGTATTCAGTAAAATACCTGCTGAGCTCCACTGTGTGGTTAACGGGGCTCATCCAGTCTAATCCCCCCTCTGCCGGCACAGGAGACCCAGCCAAGAAGTTAACAGAAGTTTTCACAGTCTCCCTTTGTTATATTCTTGCCCTTACCTTGGCAATGTTGAAGTCAATATTGAAGCTTTGCCCGTCACCCTCCACCTGCCAGATCCAAATTTTGCATGCCAATTGGCATGTGTTGGTGCTGAGTCGCTCCAGTGTGAAGGTACAGTGTAGATAGGGCTGCAGCCCACTCCAAAGATGGTAGAAGGGAATTTCCTATAAGGGGAAAGGCCAGGTGCAAATTACAAGATGATGTTTTTTTAAAGAATTGTGAAAAAACTTCTTGGCTGAAGTTACAAGGAAGTGCCAATAGCTTCAGCCGAACCAAGTACAGGTTGGTACCAAATAGCAGATGCATAACTACTGTCTGCTCCCAAATTGACTAAAAACTGGATTGTTCAGCAATGTGGATTCAAAGGGGATTTATGTATGTATTCATGTTGCATTTCTAAACAATTATTTGAAGAAACTAATCCAAGAAACAACATGGTTGACTTAAGGAGGGAGTAACACGTGTGATGTGTGCTGCTCATATATTCCAAATCACTTTTCAAACCACTGCAAAAAGAGAACAGTCAAGATTTTCTTGTCTTGAGGCGATATTCCTGAGTTATAGATAGGTTGGTGGTTACAACTTTTGTGAAGAATATGGGCATAAAAGGGCAAGAGTAACTCTAGCAATTTCAGACAAAGTATCAGTATTGCCTTGCCTTGGATAAAAATAACCCCGGGATTAGTAGAAACCTTGCCTGGTAGCTGACTAGGAGCTTGCTCTTCCACAGTGAACTGGGCACATCGTGGATGGAGAGACGCAGATTGTGGTAACTGTCCTTGAAGTGCAAGATTCGGGGTGCACCGATCAGCTGTCCACCCATTTGCTTCTCTATTTGTACCACTTCCTGTAATAGTATGAACACAGGGAACATGCCTAATTGAGGGGAATTAAAGAAGCAAGTACTATCCTATGGTTACTAAGCTACAGTTCAGGCCTTCAAGAGGGACAATGTGTGAGAAGATAGTGGTGATGATGGTGAAAAAAAAAAGTATATATGTGTGTGTGCGTATATGTGTGACGGCATTCCATGCATGTCTAAATGCAGAGGAATTAAACTAATTGTAGATATTATGTGTGGCTCTCAAGGCTGAAAGTTTTGCCCATTGACTGAATAGTCAAAGGATGCTAAACCTGAGTCTTCAAAGACATATCATGACCTTACAATTTTTGCATTTTGGAGTTTATTTATTATTCATAAAATTTGAGGCTGCCCAATGACTCAAGTGATTTACAATTAAAAAACTACGCACAAAACACTAAGGGAGTCACAATTAGTCCCAGAGACTTTAGATAACCCATTACTCTACCTTAGGACCTCAGATAAATAGCCAAGTTGTTTTTGCAATTTTTTTCTAGATTTCTTAAAAAGTCCATTATTAATGGAACAGTAAGTGGAAATTACTAAATATGGAAAACAACTTTATTAATACAATCAATTTTCATTAAATATAAGTTTAAAACAAATTACATGCTTTCCCTAACTCTTGTCACTTTTTCTGGAATCTGGCCTATAACATATGCTGCTGAGTCAACCTTTGGTTTGAAATACAGGATTCCTAATAGAATTTCCCAAGTGATGGGGCCCTCTCTTCATTGGATGTGAATGTAACCATCCATCCATTAGGGATGCTTTAGTCTGGATTCTTGCACTGATCATGAGGTTGGACTGGATGAGCTAGAAAGACACTTCCAACTCTGTTATGTTGTGGAGTTCAGTAACTTGAATCTAAACCATGGAGATTCTGCATTGTGGAAACAAAATTCCTGGATTGAAAATATTAGCATACTAGAAGAACATACTAGAGTTATTATGGGAAAGGCTGAATAGTTGCATAGGGAGAAATTAGGCTTCTTGTGTAGGAAAGTGCGCATAATGAACAATTTCCCTTTGTAAAAGGCTTCACTGCATATTGTGTCTCAACCATTAAGGTCAACCCGTTGCCTGAATTAACCAGTCTTCTCGCTAAAAAAAAGCATTGGTGTGTGCTACATGCACACCGAAACAACCACTACTAAGGGAAGAAAACGTCATTTAACTACTTAAAAAGCATGGCACCGTTATTGCTGCATTGCTGCATTGCTTCAAAGGGGCTCTCTGCCCCACCGTCTGATGAAATGTACTCCACTGAAGATCTGCAGAGCCGTAATCCTGCAATTAGGCTAGGGATTGTTTTATTAAAGTTGTGTCCTGGCTACGTGATCAAAAGTACTGAAACAACTCAAGTACAAATGAACAAATGATGAGTCCTTGAACAGTAGTAAAAACCATTGTACTCCAACATATGCGAGGTTTATGGAAGAAGGCTTCCAGGGACTGCACATGGAAGAGTTGTACCTTAAGGGCATCACGGGTGTCACTGAGGCAATATACACGGACATCATATTCCAGCCCAGTACAAGTTGTGGGTGCAAAGAGAACCAGTTTCAGGCGCTTTGAAGCAGCCATGCTGAGTGATTCTCCCACCAACGCAAAGCGGCCCAATTGCTCTGTGAAGATGTAGCAAGCTTGGGGTTCCAGCTGGCAATGGAACAGTTCAGAAGATGCTGGATCTCCCAACTGCAGTACGTCCTAAAACGGTGGAGAAGGAAGACAATCACCCCATCAGAAAATAAGAAGTGGCAAAAGAGCAGAACATACACATCGATATCAGAGAGAGGGAGGGAGGGAGATTAGGGCAAACCCAGAGATAGTGGAAGAGGGCACCCAATGAACACGTGACAAAGAACGGCAGGTTGACATATCACTTGGCACAGGTAGGGTCACAACAAGCCTTCACTAGTCTATCTAGTAAGGACTGCAACTTAAGCCTGAGTGGAACAGGGTTTTTCTGTTTTTGATTTTTTTGCAGCATCCATATTGTTTGCATTACATTCAGTTGCTCTAAGGGGCCTGGTTGCATCCAACCCCTCACTGCAGGGCCCAAACTAGAACTGCCTCCTCAGAGAAGCCTGTGAGATTCTCTCTTGGGGATAACGCAACCCATTAAATTGAACCGGTAGTGTAACAGGGCTGTGTATACTCTGCAAAAAAGCAAAATCATACAGTGGAGCACTTGAGGGAGAATTTAGGTTTCTTTCTTTCTTTTTTTTAGAAAACAAGGCAAAGACCTGGCTTTGGGAAGGCGAAAATAGGCTTAAAATGATATCCAAGGAAACCAGACAAATGATTGATTCATGGTATTTGGGGTGGGTGTCAGTGCTATTCTTGGTTGTTTACTTAATTTATTTGGATTAGTTCGGAGTATCTCATCACTGGTGTTATTTGGGAGAAGAATAATCATACATACAATGCAAAACGAGAAATCAATGCATAAATAATAGCACAGCGCTGAAGACAAATCCACTGAAACAAAAACACAGATTTAGAGGGGAAAAAAACCTCTTGTAGCAAAGCAGGCCAATTATATAAAAGCAATGATTAAATAATTAATATTAAATGAAGAAATTTAGAAGGACTTCACCTGGTGTGAAGATCTATTAATATAGGCCACAAGCAGTTTTTTTCAGGGAGAATTCTGAGCAGCCATTATCAAGAAGGCCCTTAGTGTTGTGGCTGCTTTCCAGAGTAAGGAGACCCTTGGATCTTACTATTAGATGATCTTAGGCCACAAGTGCTGGGAACTACATAGGAACAATGTATGTTTTGCCAAACAAAAAAGGACAGGCTACTGGATGAACTCAAGGTCCATCCCTCCCTTGTTAGGACCTGATGGTAAAGACTGCAACGACGACACCATTAAAGCCAACCTCTTTAACACATTCTTCGGCTCAGTATTTGTAAACAGCAATGGATCATGCCCAGTATTTCCTAGCCGTACCACAGATAACAATAATGATCTAATACATATCGATTTCACAGAAGACAATGTTGAAAAATCACTACGCAATCTAAAACCATCTCTATCTATTGGACCGGATGGAATATGTGCCTACTTCTTAAGAAAGCTATCCACTGCAATAGCCAAACCTCTAAGCATAATCTTTGAAAAATCTTTCAGGACCAGCTCCTTGCCTAACCTATGGTCACAAGCCACAGTCATCCCCATCTTCAAAAAGGGAGACCCAAGCCTAGTTGAAAATTACAGGCCAATCTCCTTATGCTGCGTCACCTGTAAAATCATGGAATCAATTATTAACCAATCCATCATCCTCCACTTAGAGACAAATAACCTACTCTCCAATAAACAATTTGGTTTCAGAAAAAAACTATTCTGTAATCTACAACTCTTACACTGCAAAAACATATGGACAACACAACTCGACCAGGGCAAAGCAATAGACGCAATCTACATAGACTTCTGTAAAGCCTTTGATTCAGTGGTACACGATAAACTACTCCTAAAAATAAAATCCTATGGTATCTCTGGACAACTGAATAACTGGATAGAAGCATTCCTGTCAAACAGACAACAAATGGTCAAAATCGGGAGCGTCCTATCAAATCCAGTACCTGTCAATAGTGGTGTCCCCCAAGGCAGTGTTCTGGGACCAACTCTCTTCATACTCTACATAAACGACCTCTGTGATCATATTAAGAGCAATTGCGTTCTCTTCGCTGATGACGTAAAGCTGTTCAATACCACAGACAATACTGCTACCCTACAAAAAGATCTTGACTATGTATCAGAATGGTCAAACAAATGGCAACTTCAAATCTCAACAAATAAATGCTCTGTCTTACATATTGGCAAAAAAAATCAGAAAATAAAATACAAGCTGAATAATCAAGAACTTGTTGATGACCCAAGCTCTGTAAAGGACCTTGGAATACTCACCTCTAATGATCTAAGTGCTAGAGCCCACTGCAACTACATAGCCAAAAAGGCATTAAGAGTTGTTAACCTAATCCTACATAGCTTTTTCTCTGGTAATATCACACTACTAACCAGAGCATACAAAACATTTGCTAGACCAATATTTGAATACAGTTCATCAGTCTGGAATCCACATTACGTATCTGATATTAGCACAATTGAGAAAGTCCAGAAATATTTCACAAGAAGAGTTCTCCACTCCTCTACTCGTTGTAGAATACCTTATGCCACCAGACTTGAAATTCTAGAACTAGAAAACCTTGAATTACGCCGTCTTCGGTCTGACTTAAGCATGGTATATAAAATCATACATTGCAATGTCCTACCTGTCAGTGAATACTTCAGCTTCAACCATAACAACACAAGAGCACACAATAGATACAAACTCAAAGTAAACCGCACCAAACTTGATTGCAGGAAATACGACTTCAGCAATAGAGTGGTCAATGTCTGGAATACTCTACCTGACTCTGTAGTTTCTTCCCCAAACCCCAAAAACTTTAACCTTAGACTGTCTACTATTGACCTCACCCCTTTCCTAAGAGGTCTGTAGGGGGCGTGCATAAGCGCACCAACGTGCCTACCGTCCCTGTCCTATTGTTTCTCCTATTCTTTTATTTTTCATATATGTACCCATTCCATGTATTCACAACTATGTATACTCTTATACTTATTATCTTGTAAACAATTGGCAAATCAAATAAATAAATAAATAAATAAATAAATAAATAAATAAATAAATAAATAAATAAATAAATAAATAAATAAATAAATATTTTATCAGTTGCTAAAAGGAGTGTATTTGGCATGACATTCATCTGTTTTGCATAAAATATGGGTAGTCCTTGACTTACTATCACAACTGAGCCCAATTTTTTTTGTTGCTAAATGAGACATTTGTGAAGTGAATTTTGCCCCATTTTGTGACCTTGCTTGCCTCGGTTGCTAAGGGAATCACCGCAGTTGATATGTTAGTTACCTGGTTGTTAAGTGATTCTGGCTTCCCCATTGACTTTGCTTGTCAGAAAGCCGCAAAAGGAGATACCCAGTACACTGCAACGGTCATAAATGTGAGTCAATTGCCAAGCACCTGAATTTTGATCATGCGATTGTGGGGATGCTACAATGGTCGTAAGTGTGAAAAATGCTCCTAAGTCACTTTTTTTCAGTGCTGTTGTAACTTTGAACAGTCACTAAACGAACTGTTGTAAGTCAAGGACTAGACCTAGTGTTGCAACAACCCACAAGTTGCTCAACGTGTACACTCCAGCTAGGCCTCACCTCCCATGTGCCCTCACAGGATTGCTTCTTGAGGCGCAGGTTCCAGGTCTCGGAGTTTGGCTCCACACAGTGATCTATGGCTAGGATAACAGGTCTGGTGAGCAGCACCCCCGGAGGGCCACAACTAACAATGGGGCTCAGTAAAGTCTGGCAGCCTGCCAGTGGAAGCCTTGGCAAGAGAGAGAGAAGCGTCAGTAATACAGGGAAGGGGCTCAAGAACTCCCCCGCCTCCACGGTCCAGTCATCGGCCACTTTCTCTTGACCATAATCCCAGTTCAAACAGAAAAGAAAGAGGATCTGCAACCCCATTAATTCAGGTGGGGGAGGGGAGAGAAAGAGACATACAGCATGAAGAAACAGAATGGGGTTAATAGTATCAGCAAGTATTATGACAATAATACGCCCAGAGATGATTCTTTGGTTTTAGAGATTAAGAGTTATGAAGAAGTGCATCAAAGATCAGCATTCATACAATATTCCTGGCAACAGCAGAACTCTCCCAGTTACGGCAAGGGGTTATCACCGGGGAATTTCTGCCAAGAAGAAACTCCAGAAGAGTTTTCACAATACAGCAACAAATGGCGCCGTTGAGCAAGTTTCTTCCAGCAGAAACTGGGAAGAGAAAAGGATCGGGACATGATCAGTAGCTAAGCTCTGGTAGCCAGTTATTCGACTTTGGGCAGCCTGCGGGATGCTTTCTGCTGGCAGCTCCACTGCCTTTTTTTAACAAGGCGATTATCCTGAATGTTTGAGGGCAGGCCCAATTTAGACATCCCCATCAAATCTATCATCTCTGCCCTTAGACAGCACCAAGGGGACTCTGGGAAGTAAATATGCCCGCATGGCAGTGGGCTATATCTATGCTTGTTGCTGATGCAGTCCTGAGCGATGAGAACAAGGAAGAATGAGTTGCAAGGAGCCAGGAGACAAACATTAAAGAGAATAATATTTTTAAAATATCATGGCCACTGCAGCATAAATGCCTCTAGAAATGGCTTGTTGGTCCTAATGAAGGTTGTATCCTCCTTATTATATTATCTTCCCCTTATGAGCTTGATGCGGGGAACGTTTCCACTCCTTTCCATGAAAACTATTCTCATGCCCTATCTTCAAGACTGCCTCTGTCCCTATGAACTCATAAGTGAATTGATTGTTTATTTTACACCGGTGTTTATTTCAGACCATGCCATGGCAGGCTTGAGAACCGCCAACAATACAAAGGGTTGAGAGGAGACAATGTTATCTATGTACAGTGGTACCCACTATATCGGCAGAAACTAATCTTGGCATGTCCATCTGCAGGACTGCAGATTAGCAAGACCACGGTGTATATCAGTTGACACACAGGTACCCACAACATCCTTTGAATCTCACAGGGGTATATACCTGGTTTCAAAGTAGAGGATAGAAAGGGCATGGACCTGTAAGGGTTCCCAATGAAGTTTTACAAAAACGGAGACGTAAGGAGCACACTGTGGGCATGATAAATTATAGATAAATACAGGTTAAGTTAAGTGTCCCAGGATTTCTAGGGTCTTTCAGGAAATGAGATATGTACCTCACATCCTCTTGCTTGTGCAGCGTTAGGTAGATTTCATAGATTTTCCCCCGTGGGATGGCATCAGGTGGGATGAGCAAGCTGACACCTAAAAGACAGAGATGAGATGGCTCAAGGGGTACCACCCACTGCTTGAAGGCAAAGCTGACACCGAAGAATGGGTTTTGGTCAAAGGCTGCTTAGCTAAAAGAGGCAAGGAAGAGGAAATGAGCAATCCCCTCCTTCTAAGAAATCCCAGGGGGAAACAGTGTATCTCCTTGTGTTGAGTTTATCTATGGAAGTATTTTTTTTCCCCATGTAGGAATCCAGCCTAAAAAGAAAAACCCTTTCCCTTGGATGCATCCTCTTAAGTAATGATCCAGAGGAGAATTAAGAGCGTCGGAAAGCTTTGCTGCTCCCATTATAGCCGCCCTCCATATTGCCAGCCCTATATTTTCCCCACTTGCCAACCTCACCTGTGTTGGGGATCATTAAACGTCCACCCAAGAAGTTGAATGTTCCATACGCCATGTTGGCACCACCCCTGGGCAAGGAGCGGAAGAAACTCTGGGTGGAGAATCGTGAGACAAAGTCTACCGGATCAGCACTGGGAGAGCTGTGGTGAAGAGTGTGGCGTCCACTGCCCAAGGGGCTAAGCAGGTGCCCATTGCCAATCTGGAACTTGCCAGGCCCATCCTGGCGTGGACATAGTGAGCCTTGGTAGGTCATGGTAGTGGTGCTCAGATCAGGCTGGATGGTCAATAGGTGGGAATTATCTGCGGGAGAGAAAGATGGAGATGATAATGGGATCCGTTGAGGTGGTAAAGACACACATCTTGTTTCAAAGCATTAAAAAAAAATCTTCCTTGGCAGAATGGAAAACCTAGCTCATTCTTAATATTGCAGAAAGCTAGATTACTTTATAGATGCAAATGCGGATATTTTGAGTCACCTCAAGGATGTAGCAGCCTAATCACAAAACATTATCTCATCAGACAGTATTGCATAAAATACATTAACCAGCAGGGGTAACAGACTGTTGCAATGACCCGAGAAACAAAGATCTCTGTTCAGACCATCATTTTCTGCATTAATAAGGTTATGCATTTTATTTCCCAAAGACAGTTTTTTAAAGATGCGATGTAATCTCCTTTTTTAGGCTCAGAGTTTTGGGTTAATAGAGCTTACAGAAACCATCTGTGCAGTCCAAATGTAGACCAACAGAATACACGTGTCATTTTCATATCTTGTCACTTATCAGACTGTAAAAAGGAATGCTTCTAAGATCACGATTCACAATATGGGAGGGTGGTGTAATAAAGGGGATACTTCCTTGACCTGAAACCAAGCTGTCTATATGTGTGAACGTATGTGCATTCTATGGCTTGGTTCCAAAAGGTCAGGTATTTGTCTTGATGGATGTGTGTGTGGTGTGGCATTTTGTATAGACTCTTTGAAATCTCAAGAGCAAAATAGTGTCAACTATCTCGCAAATACTGGAACATTTGGTTATATTTCTTTGATTCTTTCCCTATGGTATTAATCTGGCATTCACAGAGAGAAAGAGAGGAGTGATGGTTATGATTAGTCATAATCAGCATAACTGAGACATACCAGAAAGAGTATATCATTTCTGCAACTACTTCACACCAGAAATAAATGTTTCTTAACTATTGGATCTTATCTAATCTGCTTTCCTAAACTTGTTCTGAAAGATTGGAGTAATAACCAGCAAGGGTTTTGGGTGGTGAGCAACCAGAAGAATGTTCTTGTATTTTGCACAGTGTCCTCTTTAGAGAAACTCTTAAGAGGCAACAGGAAACAACTACACCGGTCTTCCCAGACTAGCACCCCTGAGCAGCAGGATAATGGCATCTGCAAAAGCTACACTGAAGACCTTGCAAGATTGTAGACAGGGCATGACTGCCCCATCCATTATAAAGGCTTCTGACATGCCAACTTCTGAAGTCTTGGTGGTTTATCTCCTTGGTAGTTCTGGCTTCCAGCTGGTAAGAATTAGGATAACAGACATTCAAGAGCAGAACAAAAACGGGTGTTTGTTTGTTTTTCCCACCTGAAAGCCGCACTTCCATCTGGGTTGTACAAGGAGACATGCCCAAAAAGTTGGAAAAATTGGTGGGGGGAAAAAATGTTAAAATGGGTAAGCCAAATCAAACTCACCGCACTTCCCTTTTTCCTTTCCCTCTCACATGCTAGGAATGCAGTTTGGATTTATTAAAACCTATCTGCATCATGAACGCTCATAAGCCGCCTAAAGTCACTTCGGTGACAGGGGTGGCATGCAAGTTTATTATACAAATAAATAAATGAAAAGGCTTCAAAACTGAGAAGCCTCCATCCCAGCCTGGAAGCTCCTTAAACCATGCTGTTTTAGGCTTAGCTTTTGTTTTAGTTGACAGCATGGGATACACATGGATTTTGAAGGAGGCAGTGCACCATGCTGCAATTTAAGGTATGTAAAGCTTTTCACTAAGTTATTGGAAGACTTTTTTTTTTCAAATCTAATTGGTGTAGTTATGACGAAGAGAAAGGTCAGGCGAGCAAAGTCCACCTGTATGCCAGCAATCCTCTACCTTCAACAATTTATCTCTCATCTGCAAAGCAGCTGTTGCTGTATTTATCCTGCATGTTTCCACTGCTCATGTTCCTTTTCTACTGATATAATAAAAGTTTAGGGGCATGGTCAGAGGCATTGTTGTTACCTTCTTCCTTACTCCTACAGAAAGATGAATGAAAGAAAAGCTGCCTCTCTAATAACACTTGGAAAATTTACAGAAGATTTTAATGTGGTTCCAAAATAACTGCTTGTCCGAGTGGTTCCCCCTTTATCCACATTCCTGAGCCCAAAAGGATTAGTATCTACCATACAGCACTTGTGCCAAGAGCAGATGGATACTCACCTGCTTTGGTGGGCTTGATGCCAACTGGTTGGAAGCCAGCAGTGAGAATAGAAGAGTCAGCGACATCTGAATCCAGCCCTTCCTTCTTCCGGCAGTAGACAAGGGTTACCACTAGAAGCAGCAATACCAAGCACACGGCTACAGCAATCAAGCCAACATACAGAGCCACATCCTCAGAGCCACCAGTTTCTGGAAAGGAGAACAGAGGAGGGATGCACACTGAATCCAATGCCAAGCTCTAGTATGCAGTATGAAATAATTGTGTTTGCTCTAGAAGAATGAATCTAAGACTCATTGACATGATGTGCAAGATCTGTTATCCATGGAGTCTGCGAGGGAATGGAATTTGTAAGGAAGAGGTCTGGACTGGAGTGCACTGCTTCTCATTGGGCTGATCATATATGGCCCATCAAGGATCTTGTGCCTGTACTCTGTTTTTCAGAAGAAATTCTGCTTGACCACTTCCTTGAAGCCGTAGGTCTATTCTCATACAGAGAACATTTTGGAAAGAAAAAGGCAAAAGAATAAGAGAACTGCAGGACCCAGGAGCTTAATTTCAGGTTTTCAACTTAGAAAGGGAAGACCACATTTTCAAGAAGGCTGTTAGAGAAATTCAGATGGAAGCTGCAAAACAAGCAGTATATTTTAGGAAAATTTGTAAGGGTCAGCTTTCATAATAGCTAAAATAATGTTGTCAACACAGAAGGTTGGGGGAGAGATTCCCCTAAGAAATGTATTATCAACATATTTAATACATCACCCTATTTAATTATATAGCCTTCCCTAACGTGATTCTTTTCAGATGTGCTGCATTTCAAACTTACCTTGTTTGGGGGACAGTGAAACCTGCCATATCTGAAGGGCACTAGCGGCTCATTTATAATAGTAACCAGTATTAGTCAGGAATCTGTGTGTCTCTCAAACAGAATGCTGGATTGGGATGTAAAGCAGGGAAGACTCCTACTTCCCTCCTCTCCCCCAACAGTTCCAGCTGAAAAGCTTTTGTGATATTGTTAAAATAATGTATATGCTGGTTCTGATTCTCATAGAAGCAGGTTATATATTAAGGAAAGAACATACACCACCATACACCAATGCCTGTTATCAACCTCCTTAGATTGTCCAGGACATCAATATGAGTTACTGAAAGCTCCAATGGGACTAGAAGAGATGCATAACCTCCATTTAGATCCTGCTAAAGATTTGACGGCCCTTCAAGGTAGTCTGGACAAGAACCCAAAACCATGAGTATGATACTACCTTTATTGTAAGGTTACAGTAAGATAATCTTGCAAGTCTGAAAGCACTTCCCTCCTCCCTGCCTTAACTTTCCATAGAACTAGAGAAGATCCCTTCAAAGGTACTTTTCCCCCCCACATCCCATTTGGGACTCAGATTTAGTTTATTGGATCATTGTCTAGCCTGTGACTCCTCGTCTAGTTTCTGAAAGTTACTCTCTCACAGTCCATTACAAGATCATCCACATAAGCAATTAATGCCATCTCCATTCCTGCCCAGAGTTGGAACTTGAGTGAAAAGGGTGCAGGTAATCACTTCCTCTAAAATGTTCCTTGTACACACAAGTTAGAAACAGGAGGATAGTTGTCAAGCGTTGATGGACCCAGAGAGGACACCTCTTAAGGAAGTGGCACACCACGGACTTTTTCAGGTCTGTTGCCATCATCTCCACCCAAAAGAAAGTACATTTTGGAGCCAACAGGACATGCTTGCCCATATGCCACAGGAGGCCACAGATAAGCTAAAATCACACCTGAGACCTACTTAAACATGGTAAGATATTGTCCCAATCGGTCCATCAGATTTTCCCCATGAAAAGTCAAGACTTCAACAAATCTGAAGGACTTTATCGAAAAAGTCCTGTGCTCTGTAAACTGATCACATGGTCAGCACCACACACTCCAAAAAGGGGTTGCCTGCCCTAGATGAAGCCATTGATTAACAGCCTATCAATGAAATAAGGCAGAAGAAATCGTAACAATTCACCTCGGTTTCTGCCACAGTAAGGCTGCAACTTGGGCTTCTACCTGTGCTCAGTAAAAAAATCACTTTTCATCTCCCTCCACTGGGTGTTCCATGCGTACTTCTGCCTCTTCACCTCCCAGAGCTCCCTGCTATCCAGGATCAGCAAACAAAGAAAGAAGCAATCACAACAAGTGCCTAGTTTTCCTCATGGTACTGGCGGCTAAACTGCATACTCAGTGGAACTGCCTGCAAGGTCACAGGGAAAGCTCCGGTTTCTGGAACTACTCCAGATCTAAGACATGTTGGGATAATCAGTCTATTCACCCAACGTGGACCCAGATGATGGTGTCTGAAATGGCAAAAGGCTCAGAGAGGCAAGCTCTGTATTCAGATCACTACGTCACAGCTTCAAGGCGAAATCAAGACTCATCACATGGCTGTTTATACATGTCAAGCTTGAGATTTCCTTGGACAAACACAAGGTTCTTCATGCATACCTAAGCTTCACCTGACACAGACCCAAGAGCCTTGAAATTAAAATCACATAACAGGTAGGAATGAGAAGGTTGAGCCGCTTGGGCAAGGAGCAGCAGGGTGACCTTGACATGAACAAGATCCTTGACTTGTTTCTCTGCCCCAATTTAACATAAATTCACACATGGCCACTTCTAAAGTAGAATCCTTGGTCACATACAAGATGTCTTTAAATATCAACATGGGCTTCGAGTCTAGATTATGGTACATCTGAAAGGTGGAAAAGTTTATTCACAAGGGTCATAATTCTCACTTCACTGAACCAGGTTTGTCTGCTCATCAGCTACAAGTTGTGGATGAACACGGTCTTATTGCAAGTCGACTTGGTGTTTATCACCAAGACAATCTTAATCAGCAATCCTATTCCTGAGGTCCAGATAAGAGGTCCACAGGCTCAAACTGGGAAAGAGCAGCAAGTTGTCAATCTCCCTTCTCCTGTCACCATAAACCTGGCAATTCTCATCATAACACCAGTGATCCATCATATTCCTGTTCACAAGAAACTGAGATTGCCCATCCTCAAAGAAAAGCCTGAGTCATTTCAGCTACAATCACAACCACTTCACACAACCACATAGTCCTAGGTTGCCACAAAATGCAATTTATTCTACCTATAAATAATTATTAATAGTTAATCATTATGATGCTTAAATACAATGACTTGAAATCACCAAGTATACTCAACCATACTGATTATCAAACACCATCCAGGCAAGCCAAGTATCTTCAGTTGTGGGTGGAGACATGCCATACCATATCTCAAACAGGGGATCATAACAGGCATCACAGTCGAGAATGCCATGAAGGATAGGCAAGTGAAATTGCGTTTAGAAACACGGCATCCACCTCCATGTAGTAATTTCTGAGTAAAAGAGTAAGTCTTTATTTGGGAGAATGGATTATTCGCTCCTTGCCCTTCCCCTTGCCCCCTTTTGTTTGGCCATGAAGATGAACCCAATGTCAACTACACAAGACTGTCCTTTGAAGCATCCACCGAGAGGCAGGCAAACAAAAGACTAGAAAATAGGGACTGTTTGGGAGTGGTGAGCAGGGGGACATATTGTACAAGAAAGCAATATTTCTGTATTACAGAAACAAGCAGGTATTCAAATACCAGTTTATAGTAGTTTTAAGAAGAAACGTACAGGGAGGGAAGGAGGAAGTAATTTATGTCATTTAGATTTTTGCCCTGCTGTCCTTCGAAATTCCGCCCCCGTCCCTACCACCGGCTAGGTCAAACATTCAGGGTGAGCTGCCCCAGGAGGGAAGATGAACCCTGCTTTCACGTCAACTGTGAAAACGTTAATTTGACATAAGAGGAAGAGAAAAGCCCTAGGAGACCTGGCAAGCTAGTTAGTTAATGAGCCAGGATGGGGACTGTCACTCACTCTTCCTCTCCCTTGTGCCTTCACAAAGCTCTCCCTCCTGGAGTCCAACTAGCCATTCCCTAGGGTGACACACACCAGGCTTCAAATAAGGAGCTCATCTTTTGGGAGGCAATTCTGGACTGTCATCTTGGGAATGAGGAAAGCGGGAGATGTGCTGGTGCGGCAGGAGTGGCCACAATTAAGGTGGATTCTTACTTTATTGCCCATGGCCATAAGCTCATGCTAAACTAGGCAGCGGAGAACCGGTCTGCACAAGGCAATGAGCTGTTTCTTCCTGCGTGAGCGGGTAGGCGGACTGGAGTTGACAGGCTTGGCTGCCCTGATATCTCCATCTGAATGCCCAGCCACTCAGAGCAAACCTCAGCGGGAGACCCCGGTCAGCCTTCTGCCTCCTGCAGGGGTTTTTCAACATTCAGAACACTCCCTGCCTTTATCCAAGAGGGCAGTGTTCTGTTTGAAGGCATCCACTAGGCATCCACTGTGAGATTGGGCTGCCCGTTTTTAAAGAAGAGGAATTTGGGCTCTTGAAATTTCCCATCAACAATTTGATGATTTATTAATTGCCCATTAGTCATAAGCATTTGGAAAGTTGGCATACAAATAATCTGATCGCAGTCTTCCCAGGTATGACAAACTGCATTTTATGTGTTTAAACTGTAATAATTGCTAAATATGTAAGCATATGTATAAATTAGCATAGGCAAGTGTTATATGGTCTTAGGTCCCCTCTCTGATTATGCATTTTTTTTAAACTTGACAATATGCAAATTGCTACCCTGCTCACCACATCCTTTTACATCTCTCGTAACAGCAGTCTAGTTGTTCCCAAAGAGGAAGAAAAAGGCAGGAACTCACCATGCGTACACAATTCACTGGTGCAGTTGCGGGTCTCCAGTTCAGGCCCCTGGCACTCATCCCCACCATTACGAGGCACTGGATCAGAGCATTCACGGCTGCGCCAATGTGTACAGTCCGCACCACATACAGACCACAAGCTCCAGGCTGACCAACCACCAGGTACTGCCAGTTAGAAGGAAGCAGTATAAATACTTACTAACCAAAATCTAACTCACCGGTTTCCTTATCCGCCACTAAACTCTACATCTTCCCCTTGTTCCACCCTACCCCACCACATCCCAACAGGCATCGCTCTAACACTCTCATAGTCCATGAGAATGCTCTTGAGCTATGTCTCCTTGGTGGAGATAGGGCCAGGACTGTACATCTTGGGGCAGCCACTGAAGCTACCCTACTGGGGGTGGGTGGGTGGAAAAAAAGAGTTCTACTCAAATTTGTGACGTGCCTCAGAAGAATTACGAGATAGGAGAGGACAAACACAGACACATGGATGGGTTGAAGGAGACAAGTAGAGCAAATGGGAGGGAAGGGAAAGCAAGGCAAGAGCCAAGTGTTTTTGAGCTGCTGCTTCCAAGAGTTAAAACACAGACACACTCAACATCCTTCCGTACTCACAATCAAAAACAGCTGGATTTGGAAACAGGGCAATGGGAGAGAGAAAGCATGGTTGAAATAGCGTAGCTTAAGCAGAACTGTGTGAACAGGGAGCACCCCACATCGGGGGATGGTGGTGAAACAGAGAAAAAGTCTAGAACTGTGAGTGAGGAAGATTAGCAGAAGTAGGTGGATCAGCTCAAATGATTACAGGCTTCACAGATGTTGGCTTCTTAAGCATCTCTCCACTGTTCTGGGCAGGGGGTTGGGCGAGGGGCCTGGAGTCTAAGGAGCACAGCAAACTGAACCATGGGAGCAGGCCCACGGGGTGGCAGAGGCAGTACCTGGGCACAGGGTGGCGCAGGAACTTTTCTGCACATTCTGGCCCTCACAGAAGGCCCCCCCGTTGAGTGGCGCTGGGTTGGTGCAGCTCCGGCTCCGCTTCTGCCAGCCCCGTCCACAGCTGGTGCTACAGGCTGACCAGTCCGTCCACGTCGACCAGCCTCCATTCACTGGGGGGAAGGGACAGCATCAGCTAGAGCTCGCAAAGACTGCCCTGGGAGAGCTGGTAGGGAGACTGAGCTGGCACCCCCATTGGCAGCAGACTGCTTTTCAAGCCTAGAGGGGCAGCCAAGCCTTTTCATTGTCTTGGGGACAAAATTGCTGGCTCCAGAATTCAGGATTCCTGGGTGTATTTGTGTGTATGAACAGCTTGGGGAGAATACACAAGAAAACATGGGGATATGCAAGGAGGCGTCACAAGTAGAGGGGCAAACACTTAGAGGAACAGGGAAAGGGTCACGTTGCTTTCCTCTGTTGTATTCTGCAAGAGCATAACTTGCTCCTTAAGTCATATTTACAATTCAACCTTCCTTCTCCTTGTCTGAGAAGGTGCGATCTATGACCCTCATCTGCAGGAGAATTCCTTCCTTCCAAAGCTCTTCTTCACATCCCCAAAACAACTGTGCATAGCATAACCCAAGGAGGAGCAAGGTGTCAATATTTTGGGTAACGTTACTCTCCCCCCAACCAACAGGAAAAAAAATAAATAGCTGAAAGCATCCCATCCTATTATCGTCCATCTTCCCCCTTCCTCTGCAAACTGAACAAAACTTGGAGCAGGGTGGGATTCATGCACAGGAGGGGTTATAAAACAACAATGTGTCCCTTTTTCTCAGGGTCACCTTCCCTATTCCCTGAAGAGGTCCTACCATAGACAGTGACGGTGGCAGGTGAGCTGCGACGGCGAGCTACTATGTTCTTGGCCACGCAGGTATAGTTGCCCGTGTCAGCTAAGCGAGCTTGTTTTACCACCAGGCTATGTTCCAGCGTAATGTAGTAATTGGGGTCCAGGGTTGGGTCTACGAGTTCTTCATTGCGCAGCCACTCCACCTTCAGAAAACACAAAGAGTCGCATGTGGTTCTGGTTTGATTTGGGTCGGAAGCCTTAAAACATGGTGGCTGAAATGTGTTCCAAAAGAAAACATGTACACTTGACCGAGGGAGGGACAGAGTCAACGCAAGAAAGCTTAAAGAAGAGAGAAGCTGCGGTCTATTCAGCGGCAGGTAGGGGATAGGCAAATAGGGTGCACACCAAGGACCCAGCCTAGGTCGCTGGCAGATGCCAAAGGCAAGAGGAAAGATTGGGCATCATCCTGTCTGGGGATCCCATCCAGCTATTTGGGGTTTATTTATTTTTATTTATTTTATTTATTTATTTTATTTATTTATTTGATTTGTCAATTGTTTACAAGATAATAAGTA